TTTAATTTTTAAAAAATGTTTTAATCTTTAAAAAATTTAAACAACTATTTTGTGGGTGGTTAGCGGGTGCTCTGGTGTGGTTTGCTCCTTCTTTTCTATCAAGCATCCATCGTCATTATCTCCCCTCTTTCTTTTTTGTGTTTGTTACTCTCTTGTACATGTAACACCTCTAGTCTTCGGCACTTATAATTTTATATGACATCATTGAGTTGCAAGTAGGCCTACCGTAAAACTTTTACTAAAACTAAACTAAAACTACCATTCTGAAGGTCGAACTTATGACTTTTACGTATGGTATCGTGTCAACTGATTTCATTTTTCTTTGGGAGTGGATGGCAGGTGAAGTGCAGTGTTGTTTGCTCCTTTTCTGTCAAAATATCCATCGTCCGTTTCTCTCCTCCTTTTCTTTGCTTATTACTCTCTACTCACAGTTCTACTCTAGGTAGACCCCGCGGTCCACCTATCCACTCCCTTAATTTTTGGTACTTATACGACCTATTTGTGTTGCAAGTGCCATAAACTTCTCAAAATTTAACAAAAAGTGTGGGTGGTTGGCGCGTGCTCTGGTGTGTTTTGCTCCTTCTTTCCTATCAAACAGCTATCGTCCTTATCACTCCTCCTTCTTTTTTGTGTTTGTTACTCTCTTGTAACACCTCTAGACTAATCTTTGGTACTTATATATTATTATATTATTATGAGTATGACCTTAATGTATTGCAAGTGCCGTAAATCTCTTACTAAAACTAAAAAAGAAACTAAAAGGGAGCACCCATACAGGTCTGTGAACCAGACGACAAATTTGTCAATCACAGGAGAGCGGAACTTACCCTGGCATGGTATAAGTTTGTGCGCAGGGACTTTCGTGGCGTGGGTGGCGGCTGGTTATTTGAAAAGCAGCGTCTTTTGAAAATGTACCTGTACTGGGGTTTTTCATAATTTCGCAATTCTACGACCTTGCTCTCTCCTTGTCTTAAATTTAGCGTTAGGGGATAGGGTTAGGTTTAGCCGTTCATTTGATTTGATAGTAATAAATAGGCCCTATTTGTTACAACCAAAAATTTAAAAAAGGGAAGAGACATTACAAATAAATTTTGCCCTACTCAAACCATTAGATCTCTACCGACAATAATGAGCCATTTTTCTATTATACTACAAAATTGAAGACATGATACACTATTAAAAGTCTATGTTATAAGCAGCCAAACTTACTGATTTAAATTCAAACTCTATGCCCCTCACTGTCTCTCCCCCTCCCCTTTCCAAAAACACCCAACAACCACCAAACGACATAATTAAAGCTAAGCCAAGGCCTATAAGACATATGAACTATAAATAGATGATATAATGAAAGAAAATAGACATCATTGAACTACCTGGCAGAAGCGGTGATGATAAATGTTTAAATTTATTCGTGCCACAGAAAATGTGTACCAAACACAGATTATATGTTGCGCATATTAGTATAGCAAGCTTAGCACTAAGACTGGTCTGGCTATGGTTTCCTTTGCCATTAATATTTCCAATACAATACATCATACATTTTAGACACGAGTAAGCTTGCAATAGCAGCCTATCTTTGGTTGCTCCCTTCCATCATCATGGAATAAAAATGTGATTGGTGATACTGTTACTGTTATATTACTATGGATGCACACATGCTTATGACTGTTCATGTTTAATATCTTAAGTCAGTGAGTCAGGTGAGTGAAATAGGTACTTAGTACCTCAGACCTTGCTAGTATATGTGATGCTTAAATATGTAATTAAACACAGAGGTGAGGCAAAATTGCAGCGGTCAGACCTGATATTAATTAACCGAAAGGTAGGCTTTGATCAGATCAGGTTCCTAATCTTTTCAAATGTTTACTTCAAAACATAGATCGAGATCTAATCTGTTTAATTTCTTATCAATCTTATTCTCACCAGAGAAAAGAAAGATGGCTTCCTTTGGGGGCTTTGTTAGTGCACTGATAGACCCAGCAGGATTGCACCATCCTTTCTGGTCCCGTTTTCTTCAGTTTTCCACTCCCAGACTAATTAAACGTTTGGTGGTGGTGAATTTACTGCTGAGAAAGTCTCTACGGCTGTAAGACGTTGATCCAGAAAGGGACTAGAAGTTTCACATGCTTGCACTTTTAAGAGAATCTCTTCGGATTAAGTCACAACGTAAGTTTACATGTAATACAGTTACGATCAACCTGTAGCAATTATGCTGAATAGAGAGACATAACTGTTCTAAGTAGTAACGTTTGTGTTGCAAGTGCTTTCTTTATGTCGCGAGGGAGTATGTATGACTCTTTTTGTCTATACAGACGGTCAATTTGGCTTAAAATGGTCTCAAGGTTGTCTTCATGCAGCTTCTTTCATGGCTAATTGTTCCTATGTTTGAAGCCCAGATTCTGTCCAAGTGCTTGCATGTCAGTGAGGTGGATCGAAGCTCGGTATTTCCGCTATTTTCCTTTCGTCGTTGGCACTTCTCAACCTGGTTGTTTCTGAGGCTCATCATCATCATCCGGTGCCTTGCCGACTGGCGTGGGCGATCATGGACCTCCACTTCCATCTGTCTTTCGAAGCAGCAATGGTGTCTGTTGTTCTTGCTGCTCCCAGCCATGTTGTCATCTTGTCCAGTATCTTTTCCCTCTGTCTGCCTCTACCTCTCTTTCCATCAAACTTTCCTGTTGTTACAATGTTCTCCAATGCTTC